GAAGATGTCATAAATGCCAGATTCATGATAACAAATACATGTTCCTCCTTCACCACTCCATGTAATGAACGCACCTTGGCCATTTTCAATGTGGGGCATCGATGTCATTGGGACAATTTCACCGAAGGCCTCAAATGGACATCGTTTTATCTTAGTGGCTATAGACTACTTCACCAAATGGGTTGAAGCTGCCTCTTATGCTAATGTCACAAAAGGAGCAGTGTGCAGATTTCTAAAGAGAGAAATCATTGTAGATATGGAACTGAAAGGATCATCAAGATAATGCATTGAATTTGAAGGAGCATGTGCAGATTTCTAAAGAGAGAATCATTTGTAGATATGGAACACCTGAAAGGATCATCACAGATAATGCATTGAATTTGAACAACGATTAATGAAGGAAGTTTGCACAAAGTTAAAGATCAAACATCACAATTCGGCTCCTTATCGCCCAAAAATGAATGGGGCAGTAGAGGCAGCGAATAAAAACATCAAGAAGATCATCACAAAAGCAACTGAAACATATAGAGACTGGCATGAAAAATTACCTTTTGCGTTGCTTGCTTATCGCACGTCCGTTCGTACATCTACTGGGGCAACACCATTCTCTTTGGTATATGGGATGGAAGCAGTTTTACCTGTTGAGGTGGAAATACCTTCTTTGAGAGTATTGATGGAGTTGAAACTGGACGAGGCTGATTGGGTACAAAGTAGGTTTGATCAATTAAATTTGATTGAGGAGAAAAGGCTGAGAGCTATCTGTCATGGCCAAATGTACCAGAAAAGGATGATACGAGCATATGACAAGAAAGTCAGACCTCGAGAATTTCGTGAAGGTGATATGGTGCTAAAAAATATCCTACCTATGCAAAAAGACTTTCGAGGGAAGTGGATGCCGAACTGGGAAGGTCCCTATGTTGTAAAAAAGGCATTCTCAGGAGGAGCTTTGGTGTTAACATAAATGGATGGAGAAGATTTGCCTAATCCCGTGAATTCCGATTCGGTCAAACGATATTACACTTAAAAAAAAAGGGAAAAAATGAAAATATGATGGAAAAATGAAAAAAAAGAAAAAAATAAATAAAGGAGGGTTCAAGATGAAAACCCAAAATGGGCGTCTTGAAACCAAAGGAGGATTTGAGTTGAAAATCCGTAATGGACGGCTCGAATAGCCAAAAGTTGAAATGGCGGATTCCCTCGGAAGCCTGACAGTTCAGGGAAAGACTCTCATGCTCACACATCTTTTGTACGATCTGAATCTTCGAAACACATGTCAACTTTCAAGAAAGATTTGGGGTGAAGAAGTAAAAGGATTCAGCATTTGATATTCACTATATTTGTCCTTTGTTCTTCCTTTGTACTTACTTGTTTTCTTGTCCCAAAAGATTGTACTTTCTCATTACCTATCTTCAGTGAAATTTTTGAATTTGATTCAATGTCCTCGCATATATTCACCAAATTATTGATTATTATGCCTTACTCTGAAAAGTGTCAGAGTATGGGGATTTTGAAACAGGTGTTCGCCAGAGAGCACATACAAAGACACACTCCCATCATTTATTAAACAAATCATTGAAAAAAAGGGTTTAAATCAAAGAAATCAGTTTCAACATAATCATACTTTTCCCAAGCAAAAAAGTCCCAATTTAAAGGCATGCAACAAGGAGAGGCCATTCTGAATGAATTTTCTCTGAAAAATCAATCAATGACCAAAGAATCAAAGAGGCAAGATAAACTCTCTCGGGGTAGATCGGAGGGACCAAGTCAAAGAATATTTAATGAGAGGTCAAGAAAGTAACCAGGCATGGATAAACGCATAAATATCGCATATTCCGATCAAAGAGCATGAGAGATTCCCAATGCCAAGATCGAACTGAGCATAACCCTTTAAACATGCATTTAGATCATTCTTAGAGCATATTGACAACATGAAATCATGTCATATGACCATTTTTTTTAATAGGGTTTTCAAGATCTATTTCATTAGCAAAGCAATGAATCAGTTAACATCAGCTGACCAGATCTCCTCATCATGTAGGAGCAACGTCAACATTAGATAACCAGCCGTCCTCATTACGTAGGAACTATATTATCGCTATAAAATGGCCAAGAACTCTTCATCACGTATGAGCAGTGTCATCCCCTGATTAGATCTCCTCATCACGTAGGAGTCGTGTCACCCCATGATAACCAGACATCCTCATCACGTAGGAACCGTGTTATCGCCCTTCCTAAAGATGGCCAGAACTCTTCATCACGTATGAGTCGTGTCATCCCCGACCAGATCTCTTCATCACGTATGAGCAGTGTCATCCCTCGACCAGATTTCCTCATCACGTAGGAACCGTGTCACCCTTAGACGACCCGAACTCTTCATCACGTATGAGCAGTGTCGTCCCAACAACTAACATTATCCAATTTATGCAGAAAGGGAGAGAACCAGACAAAAACGTGTTGTCTTGTTGTCTTTGCCCTATTCTTGTTAACACAAGAATGTGTAAAGAGGGGCAGCTGTAGACACCCGTTTTTATCCGGGCTCAATTTGAAGCCATTGCAAGTGACCTAGCACTCAACCTGACCCCCTGGACAAACCACCAACCCAGCTGATGCCATGCCCTGCTCCACAGCACCCCACGCCAACACCACACCTCACCCATGCCCTGCTACATTTACTGCAACATGTCAGCTCCCTTAAATCATGGCACCAAACACATCAACAAGAAGCAACATCAAATTTATATTATTTGTAATGGGTATATAAAAAACCAACCAAACTATGTAGAGGGGGGGGGAAACCGATTAAAAAAAAAGCTGTAACAAGAACCTTTTTTTTAGTAATCGAAAGCAGAACAGAAAATCAAAAAAACAGATTGAAATCTTCAAGCAAGCAAAGGTATTCTAGCCCTTTTCTTTACATGCTTGTTTATCTGTTAATTTCATGCAATGTAACCAAATATAGTTTAGATTGTAATTTTGTTCTTTATTTTCATGTATTTATACGTTTAAAAATTAATTAAGATAGATAGAGAGTTAGGTTACCTTGCTTTGGTGTTCGTCGGGAAAATGGTGTCATCGGAGAGAGGGTGGCATAGTTTGTTGGTCGGAGCCACCGCGTAAGGTGTTGGTTCGTTGTTTAGTTCTCGATCGAGGGGGATGGAGTGAGTTGAGATTAGGGGCTGTCTTAGTGGTGTTCCCATACCTTGTAGGTCTCGGTTGAAGTAGAATGGCCACCATTAGGGTGGCCGAGGTGGCGCGGGTTTGGGACTTCAAGGTCCTCCACCGTGAGTGAAGAGAAGCCAAGGAAATGGGTTGTGAGAGGAAGAAGATAGGAAATGTTAAAGTCTCGCACAAATTGAAATCAGGGGAAAAGGAATTGTTTTTATTTTTTTTTTGGTTTATCACATAGTGTCACTTATCTTCTTGCCATTCTTTATATTGGTCTATAAAAGTTTTGGTTTATTTATGTTTAAGCCACTTTATTATCTCATTTTTTAGATCAGTCACCAAATTTGTGCAGTTAATCACGCTTAGGCCCCTGTACATTTGAGCGTTTCTATAAACTGGTCATTGATTTGTTTGTGCAAAATTACGTTAAACCCCTAATACATTGTCGTATCTCACATTTTAGTCCCCCGGATTCCTTTGTTCTGTTTATTCATTTTTGGCACTTTAGTTTTATATCTTTAATTTGGTCACTCGCTATATATATTATTTACTTGTTTTGATTTGTTTCGACTGTTGTTATTATTTTATTCTTTATTAGTTTTGCTTATTATTTTCATGTTATGATTTCTTTCACTTTGCCATATTTATGTTTGTATTTGTCTAGTATTATTTGTATGTAAATTACATATTGTATCAAAAATAAATTTATTACTAAGTACTTTAATGCTTGTACACACATGTATGTCATCGTTTCTAATCTTAGCCTATTTATTTATTGATTGGTTATTTCAAATTTATTCACTACTTAATTTCACTCGAATATTTTCAAGAACAACGATTTGTAGAATGGGTGTGGAAAGCATCGCTTGGTCGAAGTGATGCAATCCTATACGACGTTCAAACAGAATATGATAAAAAAAGCGCAAATTCTTCCTTTTACGAGCTTATAGAAATTATTTTTATTGTTATTTTTTTTTGTTATTTATTTGATGTTCATATTGTTTAATATTTAAATTTTAATCTTTATTATTATTCTTCATTGAATCTTAATATGAGTGATGTATATTTTGGAAAATAAAAAATGATGCATTTTATGTCAGTTTTCGATATTATTTTTTTATTTAAAGAGAAAATATTCTTTACAAGTAAGAAATAGACGAGGTAGCTTTCCCGACGGAGGATTGCAAATCTCGGGATTTCTTGTCGAGAAAAGGGTTTTTTTTTATTTTAACTAATATTCAATAAATAGATCATAATTTATGTTCATAATTTTTATTGTATTAATGGTTTTTATAATATTAACGATACATGTTTTAGATAAATTAAGCATATTTTATTTTCTACTCATGTCGATATTATTGGTGGTAATTCAAAGATAGAATATACTTTATAGATGAGAATAGATGAGATAGCTTTCCCGTTGGAGGATTGCAAATCTTGAGATTTCTTACCAAGTGAAGTATTTCTATTATTTTAACGAATATTCAATAAATAGATCATATTTTTACTTCTGATTCAAACTTTAAGTTCTATCATTTATGACGATATATAAGCGACTAAGTACCAATTTTGGGCGTTGTGGATGTTAATCCTTCCCCACGTAACCGACTCCGAATCCACTTAATCGAATCTTTGGTGACGCAGACCAATTTGTCTTAAAAAATGATTTTTCTTAAAATTGTTTTTAAAAGACGTTTTTAGGTATTCGACCTACCTAACCCAAAGGTCGATGGCGACTCCCTTTTCCATTTTATTTCAATCAATCCAAAATCACCCAATTTTCCAAAATAAAAGTCATAACCGTTATTTTAAAAAATAATATTTAATTGTTTTACCTAAAAAAAAATGGTTATGACACCCGCGACGCAGTTCCCAATGATAATCCCCCTAAAAGTAGTAGACAGTTACTGTCTATAATTATCTAACACTAGAAAGGCAATGAAGTGTAAATTGCATAAAACAGATACTAGACTGGAGTACGAATATTACTCGTAATGATATTTGTATCCCAATCATTATTCATAAAATAAAGCAACTTAGATAATTGATATCAGAGAATCAACATTCACAATCCCTCTGCATGAACTACGGATAATAATTTAAATATTCAAACATGAACATTATCTGAATATCTGAAAATATTTTTGGTTTTTGAGCGGATAATTTAAGTAATTAGTATTCAAATAATAATTTGCATAATAAACAAATTCAGAAATGCATGTACTCAACCAGCTACCATCCCTATAAAATTAGAAGCACCTCACAAATTTGTAACCCTAAATACCTTTGCTCAGAAGAATCGTAGCCAGCAGAATCGGTAAAATTGACGGGAACAACCGTATGATCAGAACTGTAGAGATCGTTGCTAGTGGCATCAAGGGTCTGATCGCTCATGCATTTGGCACGAAGATGGAACTCAACGGAGCAGAACTCACACTGCCCGTCACCGTCGCAAGCGTCGCAGTCACGGGAGAATCGCATAGACATGGCGCGTTCGCTGGTGAGTGGAATGAGGCCGAGTCGATGGGCGATGAATTCGTCGTTGACGACGGATGAGTTGACTTCGATTTCGACGAGGTCGATTGCGATGGTGGGGGACCTCGGCGATCATAACGCGGCGGAGGGCGTTGGCCTTGGAGGCTTCGGTGTCCCGTAGCTCGAACTTCGCGTAGTCATCCTAAGTTCGCGGATTTGATCTTTGGGAATCGCTGGCACGATACTCCTTCCATTGGCTCTGGAAAAAAAAAAAACCCTAAAATGGAAGAGACAGAGAGAGCTTTGATAAGAGTGAGTTCTTAAAACCTGAGTTTGAAAACGACGCCGTACGATCTGATATAAATGAGAGTCAACGACTGCGTTAGTGACATTTTTCTTCCATGTTTTATTGCAGTCTAATTCTGCTTGTAGTCTCTATACTCTTCATTAATTGGAAATATAGTCACCGTGTTTATAATTTGAGGAATTTAGGGCAGTTTAATATTTTAAAAAAGTTTGATTTAAGAATTAAACGTTAATTATTGCTGTTAAATATATTTTTTAGAAAATAAATGATTATTTTGAGTATGATACGTTGCAAGCATAATTAAATAATTTTTCCACTATATAAAGAAAAAAATTGGAATAAATAAATTATATATTTGGTTTTAATCTATGAATAATAATTTAGCATAATTGGTCCTTTAATTTATAAATTCATTTGTTAGCTATTAATTTAGCATTGGTTCTCTACTCTACTCGTCGAATCCTTCCGGATTGTTTGTTGTTGTTTTCGAGTGTTGGCTTCTTTATTCGTTTGAGTTTTTAATTTGATTTGATTCGATTTGATTAGTATTTGATATTTATAGTAATAATAATAATAATAATAATAATAATAATAATAATAATAATAATAATAATAATAATAATATAATAATAATAATAATATATAATAATAATAATAATAATAATAATAAATAATAATAATATAATAATAATATAATAATAATAATAATAATAATAATAATAATAATAATAATATAATAATAATAATAATATAATAATAATAATAATAATAATAATAATAATAATAATAATAATAATAATAATAATAATAATAATAATATAAACTTAAGTCCTTCAAGAATTATTCAAAGACAAATTCACTACCGAAGTAGCAAAATGCGCAGCAAAGACCCAACCCAACGGGTAAAGAAATAGGGAAATACCAATGATGCTGCAATCCTACAACTCAAGGAAAACAAGCTCTTCAATGGAAGGGACCTCGCCGATCCTCTTCAATGATTCTTTCCTCGGCTGCTCGTCGACTCCGATGGCCATAACAGCGTGCGTCCTCGGAGCAATCCTCCCGACACTCATGAAGCTCACGTTCACGTTCTCCTCGCCCAAAATGCTTCCAACTTTACCGATCATACCGGGTTGATCAACCTGGCTGCAAAGTATGATACTACCTTCCAAGCTCACATCAACTCCGAATGACCCTACCTTCGTCAATTCCCTCCTTCACCCGCCCTTTCACACTGATCTCGCAGACCGATGATTTGGCGCAGTATAGGATACTTTCACGGTCTTGACACCACGTCACCTGATACCAATTGGACAGCCAGCCTCCCAAGTTTCTCAGCAAGTTTGACATACGGTTTTCAACTCCTTTAGAACCGCAGGGGAAGAACGTCTAACTGAAGCGATGATTGTAAATGACTCAACATAAAGACGGGAAACCGAAGGTTATATCGAAAGGAACACGAAGAAAATTATCGATTGTACCTCAGCAGGGACCATTGGTGCATTAACCGCAGTTGCAGGAAGTTTCTCCTTTCAAGGCACCAACAACAGCTTCAGCGATCTCGATAGCCACTCCTTCCTGCAAAAACATACCGATGCTTCGTTTAGTAACCTCGTCCAGAAACAAATAAAACGTCGATACGTCAATCGAACAGCCTACCTGAGCCTCCATCGTACTAGCACCGAGATGCGGAGTGACGGTAACCTGTTGGAAATAAAACACTCACACAAACAACTTTTATTGAAACTCAAACAATATTACAAGAATACTCTCACTCAAAAACAAGAAACTACAACTCACTCTTATAAGACTTTGCTTCTCACTCACTTAGAAGCTCTTAATTTTTCTTGATGCTTAAAACTAAATGGGAAGGGGTATTTATACTACTCAAGAACAATCCTACACCACACAATAAACTAATTTAAACCATTACAATTCAACAAATATCTAACTCTCACCTAACTAAATTGATGTAAGCAATGACATCATTAATTAAATGATAAGTAATGACATCAATTTAGTTTGGGTTTGGGTTTAGGCTCCCATAATGGATCAAGTTATGATCCAACACCCTCCCGTAAACTTGATCTCGTGACCCTAGTAGGTTCCTTAATCTTAAGAAGTCTTCGCTGGTCAGTGGCTTGGTAAAATATCAGCAACTTGATCTTGTGACTTCACATATTCAACTCCACATCTTTTCTTGCAACACACTCCCTTATATAGTGGTAGCGAATATCAATGTGCTGCTTCGATCATGGAATACTGGATTCTTCGCTAAGGCAATGGCTGACTTGTTGTCGACACAAACCTTGGTAGGCTCTTCTTGTATCAAACCAATCTCCTTCAATAGATTTCTAAGCCAAATTGCATGACAAACACATGAGGTAGCAGCAAATATTCCGCTTCACAAGTGGACAATGTGACAATCGGTTGTTTCTTTGACATCCATGTGAATGCAATATCTCCCATGAAAAATACGAATCCAGTAGTGCTCCTTCGATTATCTATGTCTCCACCCCAATCACTGTCGCTATACCAAACAAGCTTGTAATCATTAGAAACGAATAGAACAAGCCAAAGTCAATTGTACCTTCAGATAGCGAATTCTCTTTGCAGCTTTAAAATGGGTGTTGGGGATTCCATGTAGCGACTAACCAATCCAACTGCGTGAGAATATCGGGTCTCGTGCAAGTTAGATAGCGTAGACTTCCTACCAAACTTTTGAAGAATGTTGGATCTACACTTCGCCTTCTTCATGTTTGGTCATCTTGATCCCGTATTCTGCCGGTGTGTTTATGGCTTACAGTTCTCCATCTTGAACTTCTTCAGTATCTCTTTGCATAGCTTTCCTGTGAAATGAAAATTCCATCATTTTGTTGCTTAACTTCAATGCCAAGGTAGTACGCCATGAGCCCATGTCTGTCATCTCGAATTCTTTCATCATCCATCCTTGAATTCATTAAACATGCTTGGGTTGCTTCCAGTGAAGATCAAATCGTCCACGTAGGGCACACGATCAAAATATCTTCATCTTGATCTTGATATATAGAGCATGCTCATAGGACATTTGTTGAAGCCATTCTCTTGGAAGTACTTGTCGATTCGGCTATTCCATGCCCTTGGTGCTTGTTTTAGCCCGTAAAGAGCCTTCTTCAACTTCAACACCTTGTCTTCATGCCCTTTGACTTCATAGCCTGATGGTTGCTGAATGTAAAGTTCCTCTTCAAGAACTCCATTTAGGAAGGCGGACTTTACATCCATCTGTTGTATCTTCCACTTGTTTTGAGCTGCCAAAGAAATGATTAGTCTGATAGTCTCCAATCGAGCAACAGGAGCAAATACCTCATCATAGTCAATTCCAGCCTTTTGACTATAGCTTTAGCAACTAGCCTCGCCTTGTGCCTTTCAATCTCTCCTTTGGCGTTTTTGCTTTGTTTTGTACACCATTGTGACACCTATCGCCTTATGTCCCTTGGGAGTGAGGTAGTTCCCATGTGTCATTCTTCTCGATGGCCTTGATTTCTTCGTCCATCGCATCTCTCCATTTCTTTTCTTGTACCGCTTCTTGAAAGCTCACTGGTTCACAATCGGCAAACAGACAAAATAATGTAAGATTATCTTGTCGTTCAGTTACCTCATAGAGATCTCTAAGGCTTCTTGTGCGTTGCACAACTCTTCACTTTGACTCCCACTTGACGATGATGAAGGTGATGAGTCTCCTTGAGTGGTTGATGTTGGTGAAGTGGGTGGAGTTGCAAGCTCTTGTTGAGATTCATCTAGTTGCTCCCTCATTGTCTGCTCATCTTCTTCAAACTGAGGAAAGAAATTGAAGTCATCTGTATGAGAGTTAAAATCCCATTCTCCTTCTTCGTTGAAGACCACATCTCGACTAATCACAAACTTCTTATTGTCTGGATTGTACAACTTGTAGCCCTTCGAATTAGCATCATAGCCGATGAAGATAAAACTCTCGCTTTTATCATCAAGCTTCGTTCTTCTCTCGTCTGGTACGTGAACATGGGCTATACTTCCAAAGGTTCTCAAGTGGGAAATGTCAGGCTTTCTTCCACTCCATGCCTCTTGCGGTGTCTTTCCCCATACACTTCTTGTTGGAGATCGATTTGACAAGTAGACTGCACACGATACTGCTTCCGCCCAAATTCTTTGGGTAGTTTCTTGCTTTGAGCATGCTTCGTGCCATGTCGAGGATTGTTCTATTCTTTCTTTCTGCCACACCATTTGCTGGGGGGATCTAGGAACTGTCATTGGTCGACGAATTCCATTTGCTTCACAGAACTCTTGAAACTCCCTAGAAGTAAATTCTCCACCTCGATCGGATCTCATGGATTTGATCTTTCTACCGCTTTCTCTCTCCACTGCTGCTTTGAACTTCTTGAAGACTTCAAAAACTTCGACTTCTGTTTCAAGAAATATACCCAGGTTTTTCTTGAAAAATCATCAATGAAGAGAAGAAAATAGTTACTGTTACCAAGAGAGCTTGGCTGATCGGTCCACACATCGGTATGGATGAGCTCGAGTGGCTTCTTGGCTCTTGTCTCCGACCTTTGGAAAACTTTTCCTGAATTGTTTCCCGACTAGACACCCTTCACAAAGCTGGTCAGGATGGTTGATGCAAGGTAGTCCCTTCACCATCTCCTTCTTAGATAGTAGCTCTAGACCTCCAAAATTGAGATGCCCGAATCGAAGATGCCAAAGCCATGATGAATCTTTGTAGCAAGCTTTCAGGCACTTTGCAACATCATTTTGAATGTTGATCAAGAACATTCTATTCTTTGACATCGGCACTTTAGCAATGAAGTTATTCTTATCATCTTTTATAGAAAGATTTAATTATTCATATGAATATCATAACCTTTCTCTACCAGTTGCCCTAAACTTAAAATGTTACTTTCATATGGGCACATAGTAGACATTTGAAATAAATTGATGTCTCCCATCTTTCAAACGGATAAGAATGTTACCTCTCCCTTTCACTGCTATTGTGGAATCATCTCCAAACGAAACATTTCCACTTACTGACTTGTCTAGCTCCACAAACATGTCTTTCCTTCCACACATGTGATTGCTTGCACCACTGTCAAGATACCAGGAATTTGCTTGGCCACCATCAGTTTCCTTTCGTGCTAGAAGAAGAGTTTCTTTGCCATCTGTCTTTTCCTCCACGTAATTGGCCTTCTCCTCAATTTTGTTGTTGGGAGCTCTACATTCTGAAGCATAATGCCCAAATTTTTGACAATTATAACATCGAATTTGAGATTTGTCATACTTTGAGTTTGGATTAATTCTTCCACGGCCTCGTGTTGAGCTTTCTCCTTTCTCATAGTTGTTGTTGGAATTGTTATTGTTGTAATTCCAGCCTCGTCCGCGACCTCGACTTCCACCTCGTCCATGGCCTCTACCTCTGCCTTGGCCACGTTGGTTTTTATCATTGCGTTGGCTCTCATGCATATCCTTGAGTTGCAGCTTGAGGAGTTGCTCAGTAAACTCATGCTTCTTTTTATGCTTCTCTTCGTATGCTTGCAATGATCCTTGGAGCTGTTCAATCTTCATTTCTTCCAAGTCTTTAGTTTCTTCAATCGTCACGACGATGTGCTCAAATTTGGGATCCAACGAACGGAGTATCTTCTCTATTATCCTCACATCGTCTAACTTTTCACCATTTCTTTTTAATTGATTAGAAACAGCTACTACTCTTGAGAAATAATCTGAATAGACTCAGATGCTTTCATGTTTAAGGATTCGAATTCACCTCTTAATGTTTGGAGACGAACCTCTTCACTTGCTCGGATCCTTTGTAAGAGGTTTGCAGCTTCTCCCACGCTTCCTTGCTAGAGCTTGCACTTGAAATCTTTCAAAACCATCATCATCTAATGCTTGATAGATGAGGTAGAGAGCCTTCTTGTCTCTCTTTCTTGAATCCTTCAAAGTTGTCTTTTGATCTGGTGTAAGAGTAGCAAAAGCATCATCATCCGCAGGCTCGTTATAGCCTTTCTCTATGATATCCCACACATCTTGTGATCCAAGAAGTGCCTTCATTTTGATACTCCAATTGTCGTAGTTGTTGTTGTTGAGTGTCGGAACTTGGAATGGTGCCATACCATTTGCCATATCTCTCAATATAATGAGATTTTGTAAAATCCGATTGCACGGATGAATCCGGAACGATGAAAAAAAACTTTGGAGGGACTTGGACAACTCGGTCAAGGGCTCCAACTCGGCTGAATCGGCTCAACTCGGTGAGTCAACTCGATTTTCTGGCAGCAGTCTTCCGGCGGTGCGTGGCGGTGCGTCAGAACTCAGATTGAGAAAAATTCTGGCGGCGTCGTATTCCTCTCGTCGAGACCTTCGATCTTTCCAACTCGCTCTGATACCACTTTGTTGGAAATAAAACACTCACACAAACAACTTTTATTGAAACTCAAACAAATATTACAAGAATACTCTCACTCAAAAACAAGAACTACAACTCACTCTTATAAGACTTTGCTTCTTCACTCACTTAGAAGCTCTTAATTTTTCTTGATGCTTAAAACTAAAATGGGAAGGGGTATTTATACTACTCAAGAACAATCCTACACCACACAAATAAACTAATTTAAACCATTACAAAATTCAACAAATATCTAACTCTCACCTAACTAAATTGATGTAAGCAATGACATCATTAATTAAATGATGTAAGTAATGACATCAATTTAGTTTGGGTTTGGGTTTAGGCTCCCATAATGGATCAAGTTTATGATCCAACATAACCTTCTCATGCTGCACCAACTTGTTGTCTTTACAAGGTGGCTCCTCACTGAAGACATCAAGAGCAGCCTGAGCTACTATCCCGCCGTTCAACGCCCTCCAAAGTGCATCTTCGTCGATCACTCCCCCGCGAGCAACATTAATTATACGAACGCCTTTCTTCATCTTAGAGAATGCCTCGGCATTGAGCATCTTCGAAGTAGCAGGGGTGAGAGGCATGTGCAAAGAGATGAAATCCGCAGTTGTTATGGCTTCCTTCAAGCCCACTAGCTCAACACCAATAACACGAGCAAGATCCGCCGGCGCATAAGGATCGTGTGCGATAACATGCATTCCAAGTCCCTTCGCTCGCCGAGCTACTTCCGATCCGACCTTCCCGAAACCTAAGACGGCGAGCCTTTTTCCAACAAGGGATACACCGACATACTTACTCCTTTGCCATTTCCCTACATCATGATAAAGTACATTAATCTTTTGTAAACTTGATTTATACTCTTTTAAATATAATAATCAATATTCAATATATTAATCTATTAATTCGGATCGTATTTTGTTATTTGTGCTGTACCAATGTCACATTGGTTAAAACAAACAATAGTTGGAACATATTTCAAAATTATGGATGATAGTCCTTCACCAGATTTCATGGAAGCATCAGCCTGAGCCACATTTCGAGCCATGGCAGTCAAAAGTGCGATCCCGTGCTCCGCCGCGGCAATGGTGTTAGCCGTCGGAGCATTGACGACCAAACAACCGTGCTCGGTGGCGGCGGCCAGATCGACATTATCAATACCAACGCCAGCTCTCCCGACTACCTTCAATCTCCCGCCAGAAGATTCAAAAACCGCGCGGTTGACTTTGGTGGCGCTGCGGACGATCAAGGCGTCGCAGTGCGCGACCTTGATCCGGAGCTCTTCGGGGGAGAGTTTGTAACAGCAGTCGACGTTGGCGTGGTGTCTAAGCAACGCTAAACCGGCCTCGCCGAGCTTCTCGGCGACGAGTACGGTTGGCTTCTTGGAGGACAAAACGGATGGTGATGAAGTTGGGGTGGCGGGTACGATTCGCTTCTTGGAGGAAGAACCGGGGGCGGCGGCGGTGACTACGAAGAAGCGGTGGCTTTGCTGTTGGGAGCGGGAAAAACGGATGTTGTTAGGGAAGGTGGCGCGAAAAGAGGATCGGAGGTTCCATTTAGAGGAAAGGGAAAGCGATGGAGTTTTGAGAGAGATGGTGTTTTCAAAGAAGCCATTTTTGTACGGAGAGATGTAATTCGAAGAAATTTTATTAGACAGAAGCGAAGAGGAAGATGAAGCAGACAGAGAAATGGAAACGAGGGAACGTAGGATCAAACAGTTGGTTAAAACTTGAGTTAATTGTACAACACATCTCCAAACTATGACCTTTATTTTAAAATAGTCCATAATGTTTTAATTATTCTAATTTCATCTCTAAACTTTTGAGCATTCCAATTTTATTTGTAAACATTTGAATGATATTTTAAATAATTAATCGTGATAAAAAATTGATAGTTCAATTAATTAAATTATAAATAGACACTAAAAAATTTATTAATATATTATGAATTTTTTATTTAATTATAGTTGAACTGATGGTTCAACAATGTTAACTTTATATTTTTGTTCAGATCAATTCGACTATATTTTAATTTTTTCGCAGGGATTTTTTTTTTTGCAGGGATTACTGCCCATTACAGACGCGCATATGATATTAATGATATTAATAACTGCATATGAATACTGTTCAACTATGTATTTTTGTATTTATTTATACATGCATTGCATTTTATCTATATTTTTAATTTTCTGACTGCCGGAGGTCTTCCACGGAAGCTACTCTCAACCTGGCGTTGGGGGCAGCCTACTACCCTACCTCCCCTTACCCCACTGCATATGGGAATTGAGTTTTGTTGTTGTTGTAATAAATTTTACACAATAAACTTATTTTGACTAACAAATGTAAGTAAAGCCTTCTTTAATTATCTTTATGTTGATCTAGTGAAAGTGATGAGATTAAAGGTTTTAATTAAGTTAAATAACATTTCTATAAAACTATTTTTTAAAAGTTTAGTAGTCTTATATTATTTTATTTATTTAAATTTAATTGAAACATACATATATATACACATGTATACACTTAACTTAATTCTAAGGCTAATTAACTTAATTCTAAGGCTAATTGAGACAAAAGATGCCACATTTGATAAACGGAACGAAATTAAAATCAATTTGCAATTTATACAACTATCATAGATCAAGTCAAATAGATGAGGACTAAATTGTCAGATTATCAGAATTCAATCATCAGTACAAATAGTTAATGGCTACCCTACAAGCATTTGCATACGGGATAAGCCATTTTTGAAAGGTCCCAACCAATATTGGTTGAAGGTGCTGTGCTATGGTTGCACAACCGATACTAACTTCCTCGACTCCTCAATCGTTGATTACCTCTCAAATACCCCTAAGCCTTTAACATCTCAACCACCAGACCCGCCTCATTCTTCATCTCTCTCCGAAAGTCAAAATCTCCGATGAGATTTCGAGTTTGTTGCTATTAAACTTAAATGGAACAAGACTTCGATCGAATCACAGGGTCGTAAAGTTCTGAGAATTAAGTGTTCCGCAAGCTGGTGAGCCAGCACGATGCTCAACACTGATCCCGCAGTGGGCAAGAAAATCGTTTTGATGATAGCACAACATTTACACATCGGAGAAAGATAGGGATCCTCAACGACTATACAGTTAAAGAACCACTTTAGCAATGGAAAACGAAGATTCAATCAGCTATATTGTCGAGAATGACGAGGCCGTCGAGTTCTGAAGTTGACGATTGCCAACGTTTCAATGGAGCTTACCCTTCGAAGTTCATGGAATGAATTGTTCAAGTTCAATAAAGGGGAAGAAGGAACATGAACAACCATTAGCAGACAAGCAAGTCAGTGGGATGAAGCTGACAACGGCGATAGAATGTTATGGAATCAGGGATTCCTTTAAAAAAATGGGTTAATTTCACTAAACATCCTCAAAGTATGCTCTAAGTTTTAAATGTATCCGCAAGTTCATAAACTTTCAAAATTAAGTATTCAAAATATCAATAATATTAACATATCCTTCCATCAATCTAGTCATTATCCTGAACCTAATACAACTCAAATCTGACGTGAAGCGTATATTAAACAAGCTTAAATCCCAGTCGTTTGAGTAACCTGAACGAAAGAAATAAAATAAGAAACCAAAAAATAGAAGAACGAAATAAAATGATGTTTATGAACATTTTTTACAAGTGAACTCCAAATGGAGAAAGCTAAGACCTGTCAGAAAGTAACTCCAAGCTCTTTCGCCAAACTCTCTTTTGCCGATCGGTCCGGGTACTGATTTTGCTTGAAAGATTTATGAAGTCCCTGCAATACAAGATATAGACAAAATTTATAATAATCAAATTGATCTCTAATGATGGCACACAAAAGCTTGACTGTACTCAAGTTTTCACTCTTGTTCCCGATTTATTGAAGCCTTGTGAGAACACCATATTTACCTGTGTTGCAGATTCTCCTAGTATTTTATATGTTGATGAACCAGCCTGTTTACTTCTTGAGCCAGGTGTGCCAGCGCCTACAGGTGATTTAGCAGGCGATTTAGCAAATGGCTTAGCAGGTGATTTTGCATGTGATTTAGAGGGTGATTTAGCAGGCGATTTTGCATGTGATTTAGAGGGTGATTTAGAAGTACACTTACGATTTGAGAATGTTGATAAACCAGCCTTCTTACCACTTGAAACAGGTGTGACCACCTTTTTATCAGAAGTAGTCTTATGTTTTAACCTCTGCCGAGTGTTTCTCTTAGATGTGTTCTCCATTTCTGCTGACTTTTGCTTTAAACCATTGGAAGCTGAGACACTCATGGTTAGAGAAGCATTTCCATTCAGTTGTGCTGAAGCCACTTCTGCATCACATTTCTTCCTTTTTCTTGGTGCCGAGGAATCATTCCAATCGTCATCGTCACTGGAACTAGAAGGAACATTGCCATATGTCTCCTGTATGTAGCAAAAAAAAAAAAAAAAGGTTAAGCAAATCACGAAGGAAATAACCAAAACAGTAAATGAATGAGAATAAAAAGACGAAATGATTTATGGCAGGAGAACATCATGGTAACCTTTTGTAGTCCAAACTCCAACCTCTGAATGCTTCGTTTATCGGATACAACAGCACCATCTTCTTTAGCAGCTGGTTCCATTATTGATAACAGCTCATCATTCATAGACTTCTTTCCACCAAATTTACGTTTTTGGCTCTTGGAAATCCTGGAAGCACCATTAGAAATGGAGCCTCCATCTTTTTGTGAAGAAATATCATCTTCTACTAACATGGCGCCAAGATCCTCAGAATCAGAGGTAAAATCAGAACTTGAACTTTCCGTCTTAGCCACATTATCATGATTCGGGCCATCAGGATCATAATCGTCATCCTCTGAGTCTTCAGATGGAAGCCCCAAAAAAAGGATCAACATTAGCAGGTGCTTCCAGTTCCTCTGATGCAGAAGTGAAATCAGATTCATCAGAACCTGACTCATCTCCCTGATCTTTCTCATCATTTTCTGAAATATCAGGATCGTAATCATTTTCATCAGAATCATCCGAAGGTAGTCCAAAGTTAGGATCCTGATTTTGCCCGCCCGCAGCTAGTGCTGCCTCTGGAAAGACTCTGTTGATATAAAGGAACATGGTGAGGAATAAAAAAATCAAAGTAGAACTAATGGAAGCAAGAAAATATGTTATTGACCTCCCAACTGTCAGTGAGAGAAAGATTTGTTCCTTGAGATTCATTAACCAATTCAATATAATCAACTTTGCAGTCACATCCAGGGGATAGCCAACCCTCATCATCTGGAGGAACTGTAACACAGGAAGAGGTGCAAGAGTAAAGTATTATCAACATTAAAACAATTCAAAACCCAATATATCAAATTAGAAATATCAATTAGGCAATGGAGAGTATTACTGTCTTCCTTTAGCAAGGCGGCTGCAAGCAATATTGATGGAATCCTCGATCACAATCACCATCACATAGTATGATATCATTGTTTGCAGGGAAGTCCTTCGACCCGAATTTTGCACAAAATATCTGCAATTAAAGGATTTCAGTCTAAGCATTTCTAGTTCCAAGATTCGAACTATAATCATCCGCAAGTAAATAGCAACTAGAATATATAGACAATGCTTATACCTATGGTTTCCTACATCCTCACCATCAATTTCCCCTTCAGAATCAAACAAAGATTCGGGAAGCCTTCCTGCAGCACATAACGAATCAATACGTTGAAACAAATCTCTAATTTTCAATTTGCACCGAAGAATTTCAGAAGTAGCACGTTGAAGCTCCTTTTCTGGCTTTAACTTTTCTAGGCTGCAGGGTACACAAACATTTCAAAGCAATAAATAGACATTAGCTATCCATGATAGTAAGCCGGTAATGGATCATCAAACAGTGAAAGTTACAAAGTATTCTTATATGCTTAAAACTTTTTTTTTTTTTTGCTTTGTCCTCCCTTAAGCAATTATAAGTAACCTATAACAATACCAAATTTGAGACCGAGATGAGAACATTTTTTTAGTTTGTCATGAAATTTAGCTCATAAGCAACATCACTGCAAATAAATACAGGATGAAACAGTATAATAAACACAACTCAGCCCCTTCCAACCTTCTGTAGAGTATGCATCAATCAGACTCCACTCATAGTTTATTCGCTTCAGTAAATACCTAAGGTGCTTCCTGATTCTTGAATATTCATTGGAAACTTCTTTTTCCCTTCCCTCTTCCTCTTCCTCCTTTTTTTCTGCTTGCTAGAACCAACATCAACCAAATTATTGCTCGACTCGGTAGCTTTAGATTTCTCTTGTGATTTTGAAAGCAAAATCCTGTTATTGCTTCTCAAAGATCTTGGCGGATAATTTTTCTTTACATTTTTGGAAGTTCTTCCACCCCTATGTTCGCCAGAATTCTTAGGTGTTGTTTCATGCTGTACCACACCAGAATTTTTTGACATGTCTTCACAATGGAGCTTTGGTTGTTGAATGCTAGGATTTTCTGAAGCAAAATCTTGAGGCCATCCTAAAGGATCAACAAGAGTACTATTACTGGTCTGAATAACATCATTCACACCTTCAGAAGGTGATTGCAAATGTTTTGTCACAATTGCCCTTGTTTATATCTTCAGGATTCAATTGCAATGTTTGATTAAAAACATTAGTTGATAAACATTTTCCTATACCATTTGGTAAACTTTGAGAATCAATCTGTTGTTGCTGCTCTAGTGGTTCACCAAATTCCTCACATATCTTTTCAGAACCAACGCTAACTGTAGGCTCTGCACTACCAAGTTCAGTACATGAAAGTTTATCAGTCTGAATGTTCTTGCTAGAGTCTTCAGGCAACAACCCTAAACTTTCACTAGCAGCATTATTGGACAAATCATCACAAACTGGATGTGCATGTTCAGCAGGAAGATCACAAACCAAAGTACATGCTTCTTCACGTTTATTTTCAAGAATTTCAGAACCGGGGTTCTTGTCTGATGTTTCCTTATGTATAAATCCAGAACTATACTCATGTGTCTTTGCCGATGCAGTCTCTTGATTATGCTCGCACACACCATGAGAAAGGACTCCGAAATGTTCAGCAGAAGATGGTTTATCAATACCAGAATGAGACACACCAATGGTAGTTTCTGCTGATTCCCTTTGTGCTATTGCATTGCCACATTGATCTTTATTTTCTGAAAATTCAGTAATCAAACATTCACTACGAAATTCATTGGCCTGTTCTGATATACTTTCTTCTGGCTTAAAACGGTTTCCCTTTTCACACTTTTCTTCAGATGAAGATACGCCCATATTTCCAACCTTGATCATATCAATTAGAAGGCTAAAAATGCTACATAACAGCACCGATATTACAGCGATAAGTTGGAAATTTTTAATTTAACAAATAAATAAATTAATGAAGTTTGACAAAGAGGACAGTAAGTTATTCAGATAAGAGAATCCAAAGATCCTTACATGCAATATAGAACCAAAAAGGATGAGAAAAAAAGGCACACGCCTAACAATGCACAATACATAGTAGCTATGATAAGAAAATTCAAGAGATTTCCATTGTATTTTCAACAAAACGGACAAATCAATTCTCCCATTTAACAAATTTGAGCCTTGATTTCCAAAAGAATTACGATTTTCGAGAAACTATAGGGAAACATGAGAGGAAGGGTGATATGGTGAATTTGGAACAACAATGTATGATGTATCACCCTTTTTGGAAAATCTTGACCAAAATTCAGCAACCAAACAAAATGCAGTAGAAAGTAGAAACATAATTTACTTAAGAAAGCAATCTAAGATGTCAACATTACACATAAAACACCTAATGTGAAAAATACAAAGTGAGCTATCTTAAACAAACAACTATCTCCTCGAAAACAAGGTCTAAGCTTCAACGTGACACCATTCATGAAATCGAGAATACACATTTACAAACGTACATCTCTACCATTTTCGTGCAATAGGTATCTACCTAGTCGGTCGTCGTCTCCCTTATCATCGTGTGCATCGTTGGATTGCCTGGGTGTCACAAATTTGGGAGTTTGAGTTCGTTGGAGACGCGATTTTGAGTTGTGATTTTATTTTTCCTTCGTCGGAAACACAACGTTTATGGTTAAGTTTGACTTGTCGTAGGGTGGAGGTTATGGTGAAGGTCCAGTCAACTTCATACCGCGACGACTAGCGTGTGTTTAGGTATTGAAAATGAAGTTTTCAAATTTTCTTTCAAGATTTTGGGTTTTTTTCCCTAAATTTTTTTTTTTATTTTTGGAAATATTTTTTGAAAAGTTATTAGACCGTGACATGTGTCATTTAACTGTAAAATTTAATGGTCGTTACGGTCCGGACACTTAAAGTGATAACATTTATAACGTTAGGCACATGAATGATTCAAAAAAAAGTTTGAATACCTATCTAAAAAACAATATAATTTAGACATTTATTTCATAATTACGTCTTTAATTTATCTTAGTTAAGTTATTTCAATTCTATATTAATTGATAAAAATTAAAGTTGACAGAAAATAAAAATATAAACTTTAATAATAAATAAAAAAATTTAAATTATAAAATAAAAATAATAAATTATGGGTGATGAAGGTAAAGATAATAATAGAAAAGATTAAATCTTTATCAATCTTTATCTCGATTCAAAAAAATAGCACTCAATATCTAATCTCAATTCTTTTCAAATTATTTAGAATTCATCTCCAAATTAAACATACATATTTATCTCGATCTGATTTAACTAAAAACAATAATCAACATTTTCGAAATCTAAACTAAAAAATCAAAACAATTCAAAAAATCATAAAATAAACGGATTTTTTAAGGAAGGATAGTAACTAACCATGAGAAAATGTAGTAGCATATTTGTTTTTTTAATATCAAAGTAAAATACATATGAGAGAAATTAAATAAAAATATTTCAGTACACCATATTTTCAAATATTTCAATTGAAAAAATAAATAATTTTTCACACCATAACCGATATATATATAAATTTAACATGCTCGTGGCACCTGAACTGAACCGAGTCATGCATACGATTATTATTCTCTTATTTGGTTCCTTTGGAGTAACAGAGTAAGATATTGATTTTTAAAATGATAATTTTTCAATTGCGTGATATATTTTTATAAAAATATTATTTTGATTAATCTAATTATTTGAATTTAAAACTTTTAAAAGAAATAATATCTCTTCTAACCATATTTGAGATCACTTAATAGGTTATTCTCGTAAAATTATTATAAGTATAAACGAGGTGTTTTATCATATAAACTATAGTTATTATATTTTTTGCGC